CAACCCCCTGATCGGCCCTGCTCTGTGCGTGACAGGGGGGGAGCTCCCCAACCCCCTGATTGACCCTGCTCTGTGTGTGACAGGGTACGGAGCCCCAACCCCCCTGATGGGCCCTGCTCTGTGCATGACAGGGGGCAGTGCCCCAACCCCCTGATCGGCCCTGCTCTGTGCGTGACAGGGGGTGGCGCCACAACCTCCCCATCGACCCTGCCTTGAGTGTGACAAGGGGCGGTGCCCCAACCCCCCAATTGGCCCTACCCTGAGCGTGACTGAGGGTGGCATCGCAACCTCCCGATCCACCCTGCTCTGTGCATGGGGCGGCGGCACCCGAACTCCCCAGTCGGCCCTGCTCTGAGCCTGACCAGGGGCTGCACCTAGGGATTGGGCCTGCCCTCTGCCAGGAAGCAGGCGGCCTAAGGCCGGGCTGGGGGACCCCCTCCCCCCGCCCCCCGAGTGCACAAATTTTTGTGCACCGGGCCTCTAGTATATATATATATTGATTTCAGAGAGGAAGGGAGATAGAGAGAGAGAGAAAAACATCACTGATTGAGAGGAAGTCATTGATTGGCTGTCTCCTGCATGCTTCCAACTGGGGATGGAGCCTGCAACCTGGGCAAATGTCCTGACTGGGAATCCTATGAACCATGAAATCCTGGTTCATAGGTTGATGCTTAACAACTGAGCAGCACCAGCCAGGCAGGGCACATAGTTTTAGAAAATAAAGTTACCATGTAATCTTTTGATGGATTTGAAATGAATTAAGTAGCAGTGTAATAATTAGCCAGTTGATAGCCCAGAACATTTTTCTGGTGTATTAGATAGGTTCTCAACTGAGGGAGGAGCACCATAAAAAGGGCCAAGTGGTGATTGATCACTGACTTGCTGAAGAAAAAGAAGGTGTGCTCATAAAATGTGTGGGCAACAGAGATGGAAAGGATATTTACTATTGTAGATGACCAAAAGAATATGTATTTCAAAAATAACTTGATAATAGAAATGAATTTGTACATATGATTCTTGGTTTAAAAAAATACTGTTTAACAACCAGTTAGATTACTAATAGTTGGCAAAATGTATTTTAAATACGGCCAATACGTTTACAGTACTGTTTAAAAAGATGGTTCTTGTGAGTGAATGGGAAAAGAACTTGAAAAAATAAGAAATTCAGTGGTTAAGTAAATGTCAAAGAAACACACCTTAAAATAGTTCACTGTCGTTTTTTAGGTATATCAGAGACAAAAAGTTAAAAAGGAGTTGAAGTGTGGGGTGTGCTGGACGTTGTGATGTCCAGGTGGTAGAGCTGGCATCACCCTGAGGAACATGGCTGGCATTGTGTGAAGAGCCAGATGAACGAATGTCAGATGGTCCTGCCATTCTTAGTAACTGACCCTTCAGGAGACCATTGCTGTCATTTATAGCAAAAGTGGAAACAACCACAGTGTCCAGTGATAGGGGAACACTTAGGCCAGGCACAGTGCCAGGTAGGAAACTGACCCTCACGTGGTCCTCATGACAGCTCCTGAACAGGTGCTAGCAGTTATCTGTCCCGACTTGGAAATTGGGATTTAAACTGGAACGTCCACAAGCTTTGAGTTGGGAAAGGGAAACATTTACTTTCACTTTAAAACACTAATAGATTTATTATGAATGTCATGTTTTTTAAATTATATAACTTGTTTGAAAATTACTGGGGCTGGATACAAAAGAGTGATTTTTCCATTTCATTTCTATATTTTCCAAGTGAACATTTTTTAAATGGAGAAAAGATAGACACCTCGCTTAATTTCAGTTGTATATTAAAAAAATACACAGGGGTTTTAGTTACCTGCAGATTCATTACTGGATGTGAACTGTTTAGGCCAGCGGTCGCCAACCGGTGGTCTGTGGACCACTGAAGGTTGGCGACCGCTGGTTTAGGCGACATAGTTCTCTATGTGGAAGGCATCGCAATACAAGAACCCAAATCCATGTGAGGAGAAGTTTGTCAGGTGGGAGCTTTTCCAGAGGAAAACCTGGGAGGATTCAGAGTGAGGGGCAGCATGCTCACATAGCCGCCCCGCTGGATGTGGCATGGCCCCTTCCTACCAGAAGTGGGAGAACCTTCTGTCAGGACCCCACCTCTGAGGAAGGGGGTTAGACCTGACACCTCCTAAGGCAGGTTTGAACTCAGGATTATAGAGTTAAGTCCATACTGTCCAAAACCATGGTTCTTAGTGACAATAATGGGTTTCTTGAGTTTTGAAATATAAGTTTATTGTTAAAGTTCATTCATTCAATGAATATTTACTAGTGCCTTGAATGTGTCAGATGTTTGGCTCCGAGGACACATCAGTAAAGACTACAGACGTGGTTCCTTGCCTCATGTGGCTTGAGATTCATCTGAAAAATCCTAATGTGATTTTAGCCTGACTGGCATGGCTCAGTGGTTGACATTGACCTATGAAGCAGGAGGTCACGGTTCAATTCTGGTAAGGGTGCATGCCTGGGTTGCGGGCCGATGCCCAGTGTGGGGAGTGCAGGAGGCAGCCAATCAATGATTCTCTCTCTTCCAAGGGAGAGGGGAAGAGAGAGAGAGAGAAACATGGATGTGAGAAACATTGACTGACTGCCTCCTGCATGCCCCCTACTGGGGGTGAAGCCCCAAACTGGGTATGTGCCCTGACCAGGAATCAAACCGGTAGCCTTTTGGTGCCTGGGACAGTGCTCAACTAACTGAGCCACACCAGCCAGGACTTGCATTATTGTTGTTGTACTAGAGCAGTGGTTCTCAACCTTCCTAATGCCGCGACCCTTTAATACAGTTCCTCATGTTGTGGTAACCCCCAATTTCAGTTACAAATTGAACATAATTAAAGCATAGTGATTAATCACAAAAACAATATGTAATTATATATGTGTTTTTCAATGGTCTTAGGCGACCCCTGTGACAGGGTCATTCGACCCCCAAAGGGGTCGTGACCCACAGGTTGAGAACCGCTGTACTAGAGGCTTGATGCACGAAATTTGTGCAAGGGCCTTGGCCCCAGCCCCCGCCTGCCGCTGCCACGCCCGCTGTGGCTTTGTCTGGAAAGAAGAACGTCCGTCTAATTAGCATATTACCCTTTTATTATTATAGATTTATTTGTATTACAATTATAAACCTGCTTTTGCCCACCCTTGTATTTATAAGGAGCCTTTAAAATGTCATGTTCTTTGTTCTAGAAATTCTATTTTAGGAATTTAGCCTTAGAAAATAATGAATGTATGCACAAATTTAAGGATTAGAATGTTCACAGGGGAATAATTGATATTAATGAAAATGAATTATTTATAGTCATAAAAAATCAGAAAGAAACAGAAGAAAGGTAAAGTAATGGCATAGACATTTGATGAACTAATTATTTAATACTAGAGGCCCAGTGCATGACATTTGTGCATGGGGCGAGGGGGTCCCTCAGCCCGGCCTGCGCCCTTTCACAGTCTGGGAGTCTTTGGGGGGGAAGTCCGACTGATGGCTTAGTGCTGCTTTGGAGGTGGGCCACTGTACTCGCCAGCCGTCAGCCGATTTGTGGCCGAGAGGCGTTCCCCCTGTGGGAGCGCACTGACCAGCAGGGGGCAGCTCCTGTGTTGAGCGTCTTCCCATGGTGGTCAGTGTGCATCATAATGACAGGTGATTCTGCTGTTCAGTCTATTTGCATATTACACTTTTATTATATAGGATAGCCATAAAAGTTGTGTTTTTATAAAGTATATAAGAGAATGCTTGTAATTAAAGCAATGTAGTAATATATATATCAGGAGCCCTGGCTGCATGACTCAGTTGGAGGAAAAATGGGAAAGAACATACTAAAAATATTTTTGCAGTAATTACGTTTTTGTTGGGATTGAAGGTGATTTTATTTTTAGTTCTTTGGGTTTTCTAAATCTCTTAGAAAATTTGTTATTTACGATATTATTTGGAGTAGTAGTTTGTTACTATTTACAAGAGTTCAAACCCAAGTACATGGGGAATGTATAGCTTGTTGGAAAGCAGTTGTTCAATGTATGTGATTAAGTATTAGTAAAAGTATACATTTGGAAAAGATCATATAGATTATTGCTAGATCAGCATGAATAATATGTCTGGATATTTTGTGAAGGTTCTTGTAACTTGCTATTCTAAAAAAATGTTAAAGGGAGTTGTAAATAGCCAATTATTTGCTCGGTATCCTGAGCTTGTTGAATTATTTTTCTGTGTTAACTCTACTGGGAAAATGTTGGAGAGCTTGAAAATTGTTCTGTTATATACAGATGATTGTTTTCATTTTAAATGTGCTTTTACAGAATTGAAAAAATCGATTTTTATTTTAGGTTTTTTTTTTAATATTCTTTACTTTTAGGTTAAAAATTTTGCAGTTATTTATCTTGTGGATATTACAGAAGTACCTGATTTCAACAAAATGTATGAGTTATACGATCCATGTACTGTCATGTTTTTCTTCAGGTACGTCCTCTTCTCTCAAACTTGTTATTTAAATTGTCCTCTTTATATTTTTATTGATTTCAGAGTGGAAGGGAGAAAGAAATAGAAACATCAATGATGAGAGAGAATCATTGATTGGCTGCCTCCTGCACATCCCCCCACTGGGGGTTGAGCCCACAGCCCCAGGCATGTGCCCCGACTGGGAATTGAACCAGTGACCTCTATGTTTCCTGGGTCGATGCTCAACCACTGAGCCATGCTGGCTGGGCTCCTTTTCTCTTAAAGTTGTTTAAATTGAAATTGTTGGTTTGGATATTTAATGTAATCAAGATGCCTTTAGATTCTCTTACTTGGAAGGAAGTCATTATGTAGTCATATCACATACAGATTGTATCACCAGGCAATTAATGTGATCTTTTCAATAATTTTTAAACAATTCTAGTTTTATCATTTACTCAGTGATAAATTACCCTTTTGAAGTAACTTTGCCCAGAAACCTAGATGAAGTGTAATTAAAGGAAAGACATTCTTATTAACTTTAAGGTACCTTTAAATAATCTGTTGATGAAAAATGTCTGTTTTAAAATAACTCTATGTCTATTTAAAAATATGATATCATGACACTACTTAATGTTCTTTGTGATACCTAAGAGGAAAAACCTGTTCTTAATTTATTTGCTTATAAACACAAGATCATTTTATCAGCTAAAACATTCTGTGTGGACCCTAGTCAATGAATTATTGGCATGAAGAATAGAATTTCCCTAATTGCCTCAGACAAATTTGTATCCACAATGTACGTGCTTTGCTTCAAAGGAAAATGCAGGAATGTACTGGCTGCATACCCAGGGGTCTGATGCAGGTGCCACATATGTTTGATGGGATTTATGTAATCAAGTTAAGTAACATCGTGAGTACAAAAATAACTCTGTTCTGGAAGGTTAATTGGGAAAGAAATAACCCTTTAATATTGCTATACTTGCCAAAATTTCATAGTTATTGTTACTACAAAAGTTGGCGGATAGCAGTATTAATGTTCACTTCACAAGTAGAGCCCCTGTTGGTGAGGATGGTCCAGGTGGACTGTGTAGGGTGTGTATTAGCTTCATATTCTGTGGAACAAGTTAGCACAAGTTTTGTGGCAGAAAGCACCATTTGTGAGCTCAGGGTTCTCCAGGTCCTAGTCCGGGCAGGTTCTGCAGGTTTCCTGGGAGTCTCTCAAAGGCAGTCAGTCGGGGAAGAAGCCATATGGCTCACCTAGGTAGTTGGCTGAATCCCGTTTTGTGGTCGTGAGTCTGAGACCTCTACTCGCTGGCTGTGGCTAGGGCTCCATCTGCTTCTAGACAGGCAACTTACTAGTAGTGCATTCTGGGCAGTGGAAACATGGGGGGCTCAGACAGACATGGCAGCTGCCCTCCTGGTTGCCACATGTCAGAGTCAAGTCTGAGCCGAGTAACCAAAGCTGTAACAGTGGGAAACAGACATTTTTCATGGGGTCCCTTATAGAGGCTTAAAAAAAAAATTAGTGATTTTTAGAGAGAGAAAGGGGGAGAGATCAATCGAGAAAAACATTGATTTGTTGTTTCACTTATTCATGCATGTGCACTGACTGGGTATCAAACCTGCAACCTTGGCATACTGGGACAACTCTCTAACCTACTGAGCTACCCAACCAGGGCCCATCTAGACGCTCTGATAAGCCTTGCCTGTTTCCTCTGCAGGAACAAGCACATCATGATTGACCTGGGCACTGGCAACAACAACAAGATCAACTGGGCCATGGAGGACAAGCAGGAGATGATCGATATCATTGAGACCGTGTACCGGGGCGCCCGCAAAGGCCGTGGCCTGGTCGTGTCCCCGAAGGACTACTCTACGAAGTACCGATACTGAGTGCCTGTCCCCAGGCGCGGGGGTTTGCCCAGGGAGTCACTTTCACGTGGAGACACTGTGGACTCTGAAGCCTTTGAGGAGGAGTCTTGGGAGGGACAGGAGGGCTGCACAGCCTCAAGCTGGAGTTGGCCTGGCTACTGTACTTTTATATTCGCAAATATCTGTAAATATCTAGCTGAACTAAACAAATACACAATCATGGGAAAGTCCTGATGGTTTATTTTTTATATAGATTACTGGTTTTGGAAGTGAAAACTTGATTCTTTACCATTGGAGTGAAGTTCAGGGGGTCTGTGGGCTGCTCTGTTTTTGTTTTTGTTTTTTTGTAATACGTTTTTTCAGAGATTTTCAGAGAGAGGAAGGGAGAGGAAGAGAGAAACATCAATGATGAGAGAGAGTTATTGATCAGCTGCCTCTTGCATGCCGATCTGGGGATCGAATCCATAACTTGGGCACATGCCCTGACTGGGAATCAAACTGTGACCTCCTGGTTCATGGGTTGATGCTCAACCATTGAGCCACACTGGCCAGGCTGGGCTGCCCTGTTTTGCACACTTGGCAGTGGAAGCTATGTGTGTCCCGGGGCTGCTGGAACAGAGGACCACAGCCCAGGCACTTAGCAGAAATGTGTGTCTCACCGGTCTGGAGACGGGACATTTGGGGACCCAGGTGCCTCTTCCCTAACCCTGTCCCCACCCACCCCGACCTGAGCCTTCATATTCTCCAGGTCTTTTCCCTGAGTTGTGTCTGTGTCCAGGTGTCCCCTTTTTATAAGGACACCAGTCATTGGCTCAGAGCTGCTCAACTCCAGCATGACTTCATCTTAACTGATTACATCTACAACAGTCCTATCTCCACATAAGGTCATTCTGAGGCCCTGAGGGGAGAAGGGGCACAATTCAACCCACAACAGAATCTAATAGCTTAAGTTCAGAAGGAATACACACTGCAAGAATAAAGTGCAATAAAATAATTGGGGTGGGGGAGGGCCTTTTAAATACAGAGTAAGCTGCTGCCCTGTCCTATTTGGCTCCGGGGTTGGAGTGTCGGCCCACGGAACAAAGGGTTGAGGGTTTGATTCCTGGTCAAGGGCACGTACCTCAGTTGCAGGTTTGATCCCCAGCCCTGGTTGGAGTGTGTATGGGAGGTAACCAATCGATGTTTCTCTCTCTCTCTCTCTCTCTCTCTCTCTCCCTCCCTCCCTCCC